CTGGCTGTCCTGCAGGGAAGCTTTTTGTACCCCCAGCTCTGCGCTCGGAGGTGTTGCAGTGGGGGCAGACGTCTAAGGTGGCTTGCCATCCTGGGGTGAACCGGACCTTAGAGCTCGTCTCGCAGCGGTTTTGGTGGCCGGAGCTTCGGAAAGATACGCTGGACTACATCAAGGCCTGCTCCACCTGCGCATGCAGCAAGGCATCCCACCAACCACCGGCTCAGTTGCTGCAGCCTTTGCCTGTTCCGTCTCGACCATGGTCCCACATCTCCATGGACTTTGTCACAGGCCTGACTCCTTCCCGGGGCAAGTCCGTCATACTCACCATTGTTGATCGCTTCTCTAAATCTGTTCATTTTGTTGCCTTATCCAAGCTGCCATCCGCCCTGGAGACCGCCGACCTTCTCATCAAACACGTCTTCCGTCTTCATGGGATTCCGGTGGACATCGTGTCAGACCAGAGAGTGGAAAAGTTTCTTTCCAGAGTCTGGAAACGTTTCTGTCATGCCATGGGGGCCACTGCTAGTCTGTCCTCTGGTTACCACCCGCAGTCCAACGGCCAAACGGAACGCCTGAATCAGGACTTGGAGGCAGCTCTGCGCTGCGTTTGTCTCCATCGCCCCTCCTCGTGGTCGACTCACCTGCCTTGGCTGGAATACGCAGACAACACCCTCGTCTCGTCTGCCACCGGTCGATCTCCTTTCATGTCATCCTATGGTTATCAACCCCCTCTGTTTCCTTCCCAGGAGGGTCAGGTGGAACTCCCGTCCATACAGCTCCACCTGCGACGGGCCCGTCGCGTGTGGAGGGAGACCAGAGCTGCACTGTCACGCACTGCTGTGAAGAACCGGCAGATCGCTGACCGCCGCCGACGCCCAGCACCTAGTTACCAGGTGGGGCAGCAGGTGTGGCTATCGACAAAGGATCTGCGACTGGCTGGTACTTCTCGCAAGTTGGGGCCTCGCTTCACAGGACCATTCATGGTGGAATCGGTCATCAGCCCCGTCTCCGTCAAACTCCGACTGCCACCCACCATGAAGGTTCACAGAGTCTTCCACGTTTCCCTGTTGAAGCCAGTGGCCACCAGTCCCCTGGCTCCTCCTCCCACATCGCCTCCACCTCCACGGATCGTCAACGGCAACCCAGTGTACACAGTGCGGGAAATCTTGGACTCTCAGCGCAGGGGTAAGGGGTTCCAGTATTTGGTCGACTGGGAGGGCCACGGCTCGGAGGATCGGCAGTGGGTCCCCCGCTCCTGGATCTTGGACCCGTCCCTTCTCCGTGCTTTCCACGCTGCGCACCCATCGAGGCCGGGTGGTCCGCCAGGAGGCGTCCGTTGGGAGGGGGGGGGTGTCACGGTTCGGTTTCTGGTCTGACCAGCAGGGGGCATGGGCGGTCTTCGTTGCACACCTCC